CAATAATGTATACTGCACTGAAACAGATGAGGGAGAAAACTGTTTAAGAGGGATATGTGATTAGGTATTTTTGTCATGACAGGAGTCTAGAGCGAAGGCTACATGGTGGAGTGGACCTGGGGGAGGGTTTGTAAAACAATGAAATAATTTTCCTTTTACTTTCGCAGGAGGGTAGTGTACTAGGGGGAAGGTTTGGGAGAGGAGAAAAGTGCAACAAAGAATGAATGGAAATCCAAATTCTCTATAAATTTTTACTGAAATTAATAATAAATTTAAATAAAAAAAAAAGATGACGTTGGTTCAAAAGTACCAAACACCAGTACATTCACTGGTGATTTGCACTTCAAAGGAGGAAAGGACATTTTATACATATATATACATACATACATACATACATACAAGGGTACTTTTAATGGAAAGAGCTATTGAATTTTTGAGGACACCGTGATACAACATGGCTTAGGAGTACAAAAAGTTCTTATCAAATTCTCTACTGGCTTTTAAAAGGTTGTTGCCCCACAGGCAGGCACAGGGTAAAAAACCTTAATTTGTGTGATGGTGACAGCAGTGACAAGAGAAGGACACAAGGCTGTGTGTGTGGGTGAGACCAGCAAGGCTTGTCTTGAATAAAAGCAAAGTATACAAAAGTTCCTGATTGGAATTTTGGGAACATATGTAAGAGCACCAAGAGTGTGTAAATTCATGAACATAAGGACTGTGTTTTAACCAAGGAACTTTTTGCCAAAGTTAGCAATGTTTACCTGTCCTATTTCTGTTTTTAACTGCTTACTATAATTTAACCTACATTATACATTAAATATTCAGATAAACGATGGGTCTCATTTAAGTAGAAGACTCTGTAGTAGAAACTGTCATATTTGAAATATTAATGACAAAAAGGCAAACTATTTCTACAGAAGTTAATTTCTGCATGTTAATGTTATATAAACAGTAAAAACAAGAACAAAGAGAAACAAATATTAAATAAAACATTTTGCTTTTATTTAAAATAAAATGCATTTATACAGTCTTTAAACCATTAATTAATCAACAATACTGGTAATCCATCCCTCCCTGGTGCCCTTTTGGGCTGTGTGAGAGTTAGGATTTTCTGACTAGCACCAATGCAGATTGTAATAGCGCAAAAGACTAGAACATGGCCAGTCCTGACATTAAGAATTAAGGTCATTGTGGCAAATTATGACTGTACTGAAGTCATTCTTAACTTAGCAGATTTTAAAACTGCGAATAATTAATTGCTACCAAATTGATATTTATATCTTTCAAAAGCAATTAATGCAAAAATGTTATTATTTAAGCCATTTGCTAGTTGTGAGTAGTTTTTCTTAAAAAAAACTGTACAATTTTATAAAATTTGTGTTTGTACATTAGTTACACAAAATGCATACTTCATAGACCTTTACTTCATATTGTAATGCAAAATTTGCATATTTTAGGCAGACAGTAAATATGCTGGTGAATACTAAAAGTACTGTAATACAATACGGTGTAAAAATAAACACAAGACAAATGTACATGCTTACTGAAGGACAAAACCACGCATAATGGACCAACAGCATTTTCCTTCAAGATCAAATAATGACATGGTATTAAATACTAGACATCTGTTACAGGCCCGATTTACAGGGATGTGTGGGTGTGTGTGTAGTGGGAAAAGACAATCAGATGGCTAGCAGAAGGGTGAGACTTTAAAACATGAGGTCAAATTAAACATACATTAAAATACATGCATTAAACACAACAGACTTCATATTGTTTAAGCCCTGGATAGCTTTAAAGTAGATGGCTTGAGTTTCTCAGTTTGGCTAGCTTCAATCAGTTATGCTTTGTTTCTGACTTGCTTATTATTTCATTTTTCATTCATGGCCCTAAAGAATGTGTGCTGCATTCAATAGCCATATATACTGTATCATGATAGCAGATTAACAATCGTGCTTGTTAGTGCACATATTAACTTATCTGGAAAGGCAAATAAGTATTCATGATAAAATGATAAATTCCAAGCTTATTTTATTAAGCAGCATATAATAACAGCTTTTAATGTTAAATATGGCCATGGAGTTTCAGTACCCAGTATTTCCTATTCACACCCAACCACTGGTAAGTTTGTAGAACATCTCTTCATCTAAACTCTCGTTTTGGTCTTTTGCACGTGTTGACAGAAATATGTAGCCACCAATGAATTCATGGACTACTTTGCAATCTACTTCAGTACAAATGAAGGACAATCGTACTTCATCTGCAAACTCTACTGTGACCTGGAACAAAGACAAATCAGGCTCTGTAAGACTTAAGATGTTTGAGTCAAAGCAAAGTTACTATATTGCTTTAGGTTTTGTCTATCATGAAAAACTTGATACCCCAATAATTACTCTTTTAAAAAAATACCAGCTATTATGAAATACTTTTTGACACTTAATTACTCTTTAAACATCCTAACTTATTAAACTTCAAGTCCAAAAGAAAGCAAGCTTACTAGCCCTTCCCCCACCACCACCCATTCTAGGACTGAATGCAAAAGATTTAGGTCATAAGTAAAGAGATTTAGGTCACCACGTTCCCAAGTGGTCTCTAGTGATTCAATTAGTGAGAAAGTCTCTCTTCAAATCCTGGGAGAAAACTAACTTCCTGTGTTTAATGTTCTAGATATTTAACCTTTGGGTGTTATGTTTAAATATTCTAGGAATATGAAATTGAGTGACAGAAATTTACAGAACAAAACCAATATGACCCTAAAAATAAATGAGTCATTAATTAAAGTGTCTATTTTATATTATTTTCATCTATTTGAAGGGTGGGGCCTGAACAGGGAACTCTGGTGGTGAAGTCCATAGAGAGGCTGTGCTGCTACTAGAAGGCTATACTTTTCTGGTGATTTTAATTCACTTGTCTCTTTCTATAAAGATTTACAGCCTCAGAAACCTGGAGGGTTAGGAGTTGGAACCGATTCAACAGCAGGAGAGTGGCTGGAGGGTTATGTGCTAAGTTTTAGACACCTAGGGCTGAAGTTTAAATCTTGGCTCTGATACTTAGAAAATATGTGGCTCTTAGGCCTCTCATTTTAATGTCTTCAGCTGTAAAGTTGGTGCTATTTATATTCCTTGTTAAGACTGTGGTGAGGTTTAGCAATAGAGTACAAAGATCTAGAACCAAGGATAGTTCAGAGCAGGCATTCCACAGTGGGTACTGTGAGGTACTAGTCAGTGAAAGAGATGAATTCATTACAGAATAGTCTTAAAGATCAGGTGTTATTCTAAGCAAATCATGGTATCTGTATAATTTCAACAACTGACCTGTTATGAAATATTAAGTTTAAGGAAAGACACGAATAGCAACCATGTTCTGTTTAAGAGGTAATGGCACAAAAAATTTTCAGGATTCAAACTTTTATGCTTAATTTATTAATTTTTTTGCAAAAGAGCTACTTATATATTCAATTAACTAACTTACCATTTTTATTTCCCAGTTTACATTCCATTGCTTCATGTTGCTGAACCTCCAAGTTTTAATTGCATCTCCGGTGCTTGCATCCATTCTAATCAGTCTGTTGTATGCAATTCCAATAAGTTCTTCTTTTTTGCCTCCCTGGAACCTGTAAAATTAAAGCATATGGTAGTCTTTTTTTTAAAGCTGCGCCATTTTATCACTAAAACGTGCTATTCTTGTATGAGTGAAAACAGAAATGCAACCAGAAATCCTATTGTGAGTTTTTCATATAAAAACTACCAGTATAGAGAAATACATTCTAAAATTCTCTACATTTTACTGTGAAACAGGTTTGTAGCTACACTTAAAACTCAGATTAGATTTTCCATATAGGTGTTTAGTAGAACCACTGACCTTGCAATGAAGTGTGTGATGCCAAATTCTGGCAGAGACTGCCAAGCGTCAATAAATCTCACCTTGGCTTCAATTAAACTCATCTGGGCTACATTTTGATGGGCTTCCAATATCCTTGCTGTGATCTAAATAAACATGATTAAAAATTACCTTTAGCATTAGCTATTCTTTTCAGTTAAAATAAAGACAAAAAATCTTCACATGGTACAAAAGTTAAATTAAGAAAATATATGAATTTTAGGTATCAATAAAACATGACTAGAAATATATATTACCACTCTGTAGATATCTTGCATGTGTTCATATATATTGTGGTACTATTTAAAACGAGCGAATTCTAATCTTGGTATATAAAAAAAGTTTTACATTTAGCTTTAAAATATCTGAGAATGACCCTAAACTATTGGTATTCTGCAGGAGTATCTGTTTAGCTGCTCTGAAGGACTTGAAATCACTGTCATCCAGTTAATTCAGGCTCACAGCTTCCGCCTAAGGATGGGTAAAGCAGCCCATCCCTACATCCCTGAGCCTGTGACTATAATCTTTATGGAGGCAAACCTTAAGAAAGGTTAGTGAGCTCAAACTGCTGTCCTTGTAGCTAATAGTCTAGTACTTAATGACTGTACTCTACCAGCACTCATCATATTTTTAAAAGATTTCGAAAAGATTTGTTGTTAGATGGTGCCAGGTCAATTTTGACTCATAGTGACCCCATGAAAGAGAGGAAAGCAGCAGCCCCATAGGGTTTTCCAGTCTGAGATCTTTATGCGAACAGAATGCCAAGTGTTTCTCCTGAGGAGCCTCTGGGTAGACTCAAACGAGACCCTCTCAGTTCATTAGTAGGCAAGCACTTAACTACTGTGCACAAAGACTCATTAAAAAAAACCCCAAAACCATCAGAGTTAATGTAAAATTCAAATTATAGTCATTCTGGGATAACTGCTCCCACAAGAGATAGGAAAGGATTAAATGATGGGTGGAAATAGGCAGGAGGGCTTTCAACAGGTTTGGGTGTTGTTTTTTTTAAATTATTTTTTGGTTTTTGGTAAATGTGGAGAACTTACCAAATCTCTTATATAGCCTGGCTGTAGATGGCAATGCGAGGAAAGAAAAAGAAAGCAGAAAGGAAAAAAAAATGCAGTCAGAAAAAATGGCAAAAATAAAGCAAAGAAAAAGTTGCGGTCACCTGCAAACCAAAATTCCAGCCAAAAACCATGCAAAAAATTACTTTAGATGGAAACCAAGCAAAGTAAATGCAAGCATGAAAATGAAAATGAGGAAGCAGCAGTTACTTACAGCTCTGAATACTGAGAAACACTCCACATTATTTTAGAAGGTTAAGAGTTACTAAAGGTAGACATGTGTAGGCAGAAAATACAGGGAATAAATGTTATGTTGTTAAGTGCCGTCGAGTCACAGGCGACTCATAACGACACTATGAAGGAGAGTCCTTGACGCTTGGGTGCCTTTCATCCTCTCTCCAGGTTCACAGGGTTTCCGGAGGCAAGCTATTATGGAAGTGGATGCCACTCCTCCTTCCACGCTTGTTTTAATCGGGGAGCTCCACCCCACTCTGTCTGCATATATATCATAATAGAATATAATATTCCACATGGGAATGAGGGCCAAGAATTTCTAGCTCTTTCAAACTACACTGTAACATTACTAATTTAAACCCCTCTTATCAAAGCTTCAATATCTGTTTACATTTTGGCAACAAAATAAACAAAAACAAAGGTGGACCAATAAAGAACATAATTAACTTTCATCTCTCCTGATATGTGTCCTCTCTTGTAAATTCTGAAAACAGGTTATCCCAAATTATTAAAATTGATTAAGTGAGTAAAAAATGACCAGGATAAATTCCATAGTTATTTTAAAAAATCCAGGTCACACAATCTCATCATTTGATGTCAGATGTAAGTAATAAGGACTCTATAATACCCACCCATAATCCCTCTGTTCTATACCAATTCTTACTAGCTAGGAATGATAAAGCTAATTATTTTAGCACCAATCAAAAATTAATATTTAAAAGTTTTAAGTGTCTTCTTAGTTTAGTGATAGAACATAATTCATGCACTGCTTTTTAGGAATAAAAATTGAAGACAGGAAGTAAGTGCAACAACCATACTATTTACACAAGAAAACTCAACTCCTGAATTACCATCTGCTTTTTACATCCTTTTTCCTAGAAGGAAAAATAAAGAGATGCCACACACGACACACTAGGAACTATGGCAAAAATCTATTAGCCCATCTCAATTTGAATTAACATGTGTTAAAAATGCAGAACTTTTTTGTAAAATTCTAAAATACAATTTAGGAGTTGTGGTGATTTAAAATAAGACTCAGAACAAATAATTAACATATGCATGTGAAGAGCTGTCAAGGTGGCCTGGCATTCACGGCGATCCATCACAACAGAATGAAATGGTGCCTGTTCTCCCTCATCCTCATGACCTTTTGGAAGTTTGATAGTTTGATCCACAGGGTGATTTCTGGAAGTAGATGACTTGGCCTTCACTCCTTGTTGGTCTTAGGCTGGCAGTTCCACTGAAACTTATTCAGCATCACAGCAACATGCAAACCTCTGTCAGAATGGTGGTAGCTAAGCACTAGGTGCACTGACTGGAAATACGTGTATAATTTTGAAGAACGAAATGATTTAATACTTAAGAGGTTATATTGATAATCCCAAAGGAATAGACTGAGTGACCCTATAGCCCACAAAATCGAATTTACAATTTAATGATAACTGTGCACTAAGTCTAACAACCATCACAGCAACTGATGTACAGCAACTAAATTTCTATGGGCTCTTACAGGCTGTTTCCAGAAGATGCTGTCCAAAAGAACTGCCCTGGGACCTACTAAGTCTAGTAAAGGAAAAGGAGATGAAAAGAAAAGGTGCAAGTCCTAAAACGGCCATTATGAAAGACAAGAATAACAAGATCCTGAGTACTGGGCCACAGGTTCACTGTCCTCATATCAGTTAAACAAAACATTGTCCTCAGGAGAATTTTTTTGTTGACAATCTAGAACTTGGGTTGAAAAATCTAATTTTAAGTTTCTGGTAAAACAGGTAAATACAAACCCCTTACAGTTAAACCAATAGCTGTCAGTTCCCATAACTATGCTATAAGCACCCCCACCCTCCCGGCCATAGTGAAATGATAAAACTGCTAATATATTATTATTATTATTATTAAAGTTCTCTTAAGGCAAATGAATTTTTTACAAACCAAGAATGAAAAATTAGTCTTTGCAAGTTCCCTTTTTAAACTTACAAATCTACATTCCACAAAACTCCCCAAGGTGGAATTTCCTCCATTCCTTACTACTCCCACATAGTATAACTGTGGGATAAACATTTTCCCTGTAGCTTACACAAACTCTGAAATGTAAAGACACATGCTTTGTGACTAACTCTCCAGAGCTTCCAACCAAGTGATTTCAGATATAAATGTACATGTACATATTTAAAGCATACTTAGGCAGTAATATGGTAGATAATTAATTTGGCTTGTTCATTGTATTTAAAAATTATTATTTAAAGATGAAAATGAAACTAGGTAAAAGTGATTATTCCGAAGAGCTTCTCTATCCTCCCTCATCCCTCCAAATCCTTAGAAGTACTTTCCCTTTTAAGGAATGATGTTTGATGTGGAGAACGATGAGGGCTATTCCAAGTAAAATTCTCCTCATAAAGGGCATTTTATGTTGTACTGAAGAATTGCTTTCCTATATAAAAATTCTTTTATGGTATTAATCTCCAGGAACAGTTATTATAAACGAGGAACAAAAGTAGTGAATTTCAAGAGAAAATTTACCATAACAAATTTCGTTTAGTTTCTAACACTTAATGTTTGAAAAGACTGTTTAAATGCAGCAAACGTAGCTACTCAAAGCTAGAAAAATCCATTTTGGACAGCATGAATAGTTATTACAGATTATATGGAAATATTAAATGTACTTTTATCACTTTTACTTAAATATACACACACACACACATATATATATATAAAATGAAATTAAGGAACAAAAAGCATTAAAAACCATACTCAAACCCCTAAGGTATATGTTTTTTTTCTCGGGTTTATTAGAATACATGTTTCCAACTATTTTAATTTTCTTAAAAAATGACCAACTTAAACTGACTTAATACTAATCTAACTAGTTCACACAGATCAAATCCTATCAGGACTAAGGTTCTGTTTAAGAAGGAAAACTAAGTTTTGCATAAGTATATAATTATAAAATAAGTAGGCCCAAAAGGGTAAAGTAAAATGAATCGAGTACCTGCTTGTTCTTGTACTTTTTCAGGTAGCGAGGGGATACCAGACATTCAGGATTTATATCAGTTGAGATCTGCTCTGGTATTAGCTGAGGATCTGGATTTAAATGCTGCATTTTCAAGAAGGAAAGGATGTTTTGAACTTCGAGGTTATATGAGCTGTCTGCCATGGTCTTGCCTTTGGAGGCTAATCTGCAAGCTGCCATCCAGTGTGCATACTGCTTTTCCTATTTGAAAGAAAAACCGATGAATGACATGTACCACATGATGGATCTTTTCGGTATAAAACAAAGAATGATAGGTCAATTTACTTAAGAGTTGAAAAAGAAAGGTGGTTTGCATATTACTTGGAAAACATACATTGTCACAACGAAGCCAGATTTCATTCATGCCTTCTGCAACTGGGATCAGGAGTTTAATATTAAATTTCTGGCCTGAAATGTTCACATCTGGAGTAACTTCACATCCTGGAATTAAAAAACAACCAGTACAGGCATTTTATACATATTATAGCATGTTTCCATATTAAATTTTGCCATTAAAGAATCTATAAATCAATATTTTATCAGTAAAACGTGAGGCGAATGTTTGTTAAATGCAAACATTCAATACTGATCACAAACCATGTGCCTTTTGGATTGCAATGTAGCTTCTTGCCGCTAGGCCACCAGAGCTCCCTAACGGTAAAACAGACCCAAAAGAAATGTGAACAAGAACAAGATACTTGTACATTAATGCACATAGCCGAATTAATCACAGTAGTCAAAATATGGAAACTTTAATGTCCATCAACAGATGAAAGGATAAAATATAATTTACAAGAAAATATTTAGTCATAAACAAAAACAAAGTTCTAATAATTGTTAGGATATGGATCAACCTTAAATATTGTGCTGTGTAAAGTGAAAGGGAGACCTGGTGGCCTAGCGGCAAGAAGCTGCCCTGCAATCCAAAAGGCACAAGGTATGCAATCCGAAGCCACCAGCTGTTGCGTGGGAAGATGGCAATCTCTTTGCGTGCGATTAACTGCCTCTAAAAACCTTCCAGAGGGTCAGCTCTGGATCTGTTCTGACTCTATGTTCTAGAACAACAAAGTAAGTCATACACAAGGCAGCAAATACTGGATGATTCCACTTAATGAAGTCCTTAGAATAGATAAATGCAGAGAGACAAAAGTTTATTAGTCACTACCAAGGGTAGGGGAGAGGGAGAAATAATTATTTTAAGGAGTACTGATTTCCTATTGGGATTGATGGAAAACATCTGGAAAGAATAAGTAATGACAGTTGTCAACATGGAAAAAATGGTTAATTTATTGTTATATTCCATCATCATTCTAGGCTTTCATTACCTCTTAGGTTCATTTGATGTGCTGGTGTACCGCTGGATTCTTCTTTGCTCTTATAGCAAGAAATAGATGTATCTTTAAAGGTGCACCAGTACTGCTTGTAACCTTTCAGAGTCAGCTTTTTTGGCCTGTGTCAAATAGAATTAAAAGAAAAACTACTTTTGAAGTAACATTAACAATGCTATTCCCTTAGTTTGTCACCATCAAAATATATACTCCGAAATAGCAGACTTTTAAAAGTCCAAGTTTTACATAAGCTGAATTCTGTTTCTTTTGGCTAGTGTTCAAATTAAGTTATATTCAGTAGTCCCACTATTTGATCTCTCCCTCCCTTCTACACTTTACCTATCTAACTCAAGAAGACCACAAACAGTAAAGCAGGGAAAGAACTCGGGGCGATCATCCCAGCTAGTACCACAGTCCCTACTTAACTTAGGGGATGTGTTCCAAGACTCAGTTAGGTGCTTGAAACTAGAGTCCCAAACTCATTTGCTATATTTTCTCTACATACACATACATGTATACAGAAGTTTTCCTGTCATTAATGGGTTATATGGAAAGGATTTGGGGAGAGAGTACCTTCCATGCTGGAAGTTTCTTAGGACCACTACCTACCTACAGGCTCACAGGTTTGTTGTAGAGTTGCCTATGGAACTTGTATTTATTTGGCATGAATGGAAATGGAGGAGTACTTATTGCCTTCAGAGATGTATTTCACTAGTGACACTGACTTGCCACTTTAATATCAAAAACAGAAGATGACGAAAGAGAAAGCCATGAAGAAAAGTGGGTGAGGAAAGTTGTAGGCAGGAAAAAAGGCAAAGGAAAAAAGATAAAGACGTTGGATATGAAAAGGGGCCCTTACTTCAGAGGTGTTTGTTACACATTTTGAGCTGTTTTGTTCAGTTAAAGTGAATGATTTATTCCTAAGGGCTTTAGCCTTATACGATAGAAGTGTGTTCCATATCACATCTTCCTCTTTGTGCCTTCAAGCTACTTTCTTGATTTTCCATATAGCTAAGCTAATTAAAAGTCTAAATAAAATATACTTGAACCTTAGTGTAAAATGCCTCATAAATAAAATTTAATAGAATATGGGTTCTGAACAAAGCCACTGAAGTTCTAGTTCATGACTTACTGCTATCCTATGAGAATCCAAAGTTGAAGCTTTAAAATAATGAACCACTGTATTTCTATGTCTGAGCATCTCTATGACACAGTCAGTCAAGGTTTCATAATCTTGTTGGGGTGTTGTGTTTGTTTTTTTTTTAAAAAAATGATTATCAAACAAAACAACTTAATGAGTAATTTGATTTTGATTTAGTAAAGACATTTAATTACAGTTTTAGTATTTAAGATTAATACCATCTTTTTAAAGTGCATTCATCAAATCTATAAAAACTTATTTTATTACACATACTCATTAACAACACTTGGATCTTCCCTTTTTTGGTACTTACTTGAAAACTTTAATATAGTCAGCAAGTTCTGGAATAGAAGTGATATCGCCCTAGAAAAAGAGTTAAATCACTAAACAATTTTTTTGGTAAAAAATCTGCAGTTTTTCCTCATATTTAGTATCTGATAGCAAGAATTCATTTAATAAATGCATAAAATTACAAAAATATGGGTTATAAAGATACAGTCTTTGGCTAAATGTACTCCATTTTCAAATGCAGAAACAGATAATAAAAATTTTATCGAGAGGTATTTCTGGTGAGCTCTGGTGGCCTAGTGGCAAGAAGCTGCACTTCAATCCCAGAGTGAGCAGTTCGAATCTACCAGATGCTCTGCTGGAGAAGGAAGGACAATGTCCTCCTGTACCAGTCAGATCTGATCCGACAGTATATACACACACACACATACACAAAATAAAAAAGATTCTTTTAAAAGAATTTAAGTCACAAAAATGTTACTTCTAAAACAGTAAAATCTTAAACATGGCAATCTTGCAAATCACCCTGAGATAAATGTTTCTTCTGTAATAACTAATTACTAGACTTAAAAACCAATTAAAGTGTTTAAAAATTTTGATCTATTCATTTTATTGTTATGTGTGTAACGACATTCAGAGTTTTACAATGTATTCAGAGTATGTTTTCCTTTGCAGAAGTGTTCTTCCACGACTTCTAAAAGCAAATGCAGAATCAAAGTAAGGCTCTATGTTTACCATGTTGGACAAAACAGACTTAAAGAGCAACATTTATTAAAAAAAACTTTT